TTTTTTTTTTTTTTTTTTTTTTTTTTTTGAATGAATGTTTGTATATGTTCTGAGACTTGGGAGATTATAATACACTGTATAAACGGTTTCCCAAGCGAATAGGTAGTAATAGTAATGGCAAATGGAACTGCTGAAATACTTCTGTGTTGACTGTTAATGGCTCTTAGTTTTCTGAAAAATTTTATTCTACAATTCTAGTAATAATACTGCTACTTTAATATGAGTTTTGTGCTTTGTTTTATTCATTTTTGTAAAAGGAAAACTTTTTTCTATTTCTCTTTTTTTCTTAATATTATTTTTTACTATCAATGCTCGTCAACTTTTTCGCGTAGTTTTTCGAACTTTGCCAACTTTGATATAAGCTACAAAGTCGAAGTAGCTGTTGTGTATTTAGCGAAGAAAAAAAAGCAAAGTGTTGCTGTATTTGGTCAGTCTACTATTCAACGATAACCAATTTCATTAGGTATCTGATTATTTGAACTAGCCAAATTCGTATAGCTACAGTTTCTGATATAATCTTCAAAAAGAAAAAAGAGAAAAGAAAATGAAAGAATGGGAGAAGATGAAGGAAACAGCAGAAATATTTTTCGGCAAAAACTAATTTCTACTGTTTATCAAAAAAAGAATTATTTCGCTGACTAAACTGTTGTTGGCTTAAAATTTAACTTTGATAAAAGAGAGAGATTTTTTTTCTTGTTACGTAAGCATTACGTTATTAGTACGCTGCAAGGACTAAACATAAAATTTGGTCAAAGTGCTTTATAAAAGAATAAGTCAGTTGCTAGAAGTGGTTAATCTTTTACCGATCTGATTAATGTGTCATTTTATGCGGAGAAAAAAAAAGAAGGATGATGGAGGTTTTTTGATCTCAACTTTCTTCAAAACGATCTCCATTGGATTAACATTGCGTTGGTATTGGTGCTGCTGTTGCTGTGACTTCCCATCGAACAGTTCTGTTGTCTTTTCAAAACGTAATTTTCGAGTAGAGGTTTGGATAAATGCTGAAGAATTCTTGATGTCAAAAACGGATAAAATTTGCTCTTTCTTTAACCATATTCAATGGTTCAAACGGGGCTCATTGTCACGCTTGGTATTCATGTATGCATCAATTTGAAATTGTAATTAACATAAATGCCAAGGCCTTGAAAGGTGCTACGAACAACAGTGCTGGTATGTAAGTTTAAAATAGGCTTCAGAGCCATCATCGTCGTCATCGTCATCATCAGATCAGATTGATCTTCATACAACTGCTACCTATCGGTTGTCGTTGCTGTCAGTTTCTCTTCGTTTGGTGTTATCGGTGTCGTGGTTGTCATCAATGAATGCCGAACACGGTTCAATGGATTGGCATGTATTGCTTGGCATCTTCTCCCCTTTTGTTGTTTCACTGGCAATAAACCACGTTAGAAAGTTGCCGGAAAAGTGGTGAACTGTTTACGATCTGGAGAAGGAGATAATGAATAATTCTTTTTTTGGAGGGTTTAAAACAGAAAAAGCCAAAAAAGAAGAAAGATTTGTTTTATTTTCTGAGGATTTTTACATTTCTAGTCATTGTTTCTGCTGTTTTAGTTTCTTTCATTGTTTCTATTTATTCTTTTCTTTACACTTTGGTCATTCAAAGAGCAACGATTTTCTGTGATGTTATTTCAATGACAAATTGTTAACGGTGGCAGCGAAATGAATTGTGGAGAAAAAAGGTAAAAAATAAATCAAAGTATAGTAATGTAATCAGTGTTATTGTTGTTATTGGAAGTGGTTTTTTATTTGGAAAAGTTAAACATAGGTAATGAATGATTTATTTTTTACTGCAGTACCTATTCATTAAGATAGAGGTGAAAAATAATATTAGCAAAAAAAAAAAAAAAAGAGCTGTAAGCAAAAGAAAGGATAAAAAAAAAAAGAAGAAGATAATTGGAATTTTATATTTGGTTTTGTATATAACAGTGCATACAGTTTATTCGTTTTAAAGGCTGTTGGTGACAAAGAAATGTATGGGCAAAAAAAAAATGATGTTTTAAGTTTAAAAAAAAATTCAGTTACTTTTTTTTCTGATATATTAGAAATAATAATGGTAGTAATTTACATTTTTGCCATTTGTAGTTTTTTTTTTTGTCGCTTTTTGCTTCCCTTCGTCTTTGTCCTTTTTTGGGGTTATGAAAGATGACCCGAATTTTTTTTTTGCTTCTTTGCTGTTGCTCTTTTTGATGGTGATGGTAAAATTTTTCTTGTTTAAATAAGA